TGTTAATCGGTTCTTCATTATCTAAGGTCATTGTTAAGTTTTTCTAGGATAGTGAAGCATAAAATTATCAGTTGTGGTTTCACGGCTTAGTCATTTCATGTTTGGAATAGAGGGACCAGGGGGTAAGAAGGTGAAAGAAAAGAAAGGGGCTAGGAGGGAAAAAAAACGTTGGGCTCGAGAGAAAGAAAGGAAAGAAAGAAAAGGTCATACTAGGCTAGGACAAAAATGGGCTTAGGTTAGTTAGGTAAGTCGGGCTTGGACTGGTCAATGAGTTGGGTAGGTGGGGTTCAAGTATTAAGTTTGCTTGGGTTGGGCTAGTTTTTTGTTTTACGTTTATTAGTTGGGCTTGGGGCTTAGCCCAACTCGAATGGGCTTGGCCTAATAGGCCAATAGCCCAAAGGCCTAATAACTATATTTTCTTTATTTTTTGCCATTTCTTTAGGATGATTAAATCTAAGATTTTTATGCATGCTTCATGTTTTCATTTTTAGTCTACATTTAATTTTTTAGAATTTTTGAACTCCTTTTACGTATTTCTTTCAATTTATTTGGTTTAATACTTGTTTATTAATTTTGCTTGGTATTTAAATTTCAGTTTAGCTTAGTATTTAATAATAATTAAATATAAAATTATGATGGTAAATTTTAGACTCTTATTTAATAATAATAATAATAATAATAATAATAATAATTTTTTAGTGCTAATGGTATCTTGCAACAAGATGTCACATGTTCAAATCTTAGTAGACTAGTCTAGTAGGAGCCTTAGCGGATCTGGTTTTGTTTAGGGTGAGCAAACGGTTTTTCGATTTGATTTTTAACAAATTTGATTCGATTTTCGATTCATCAAATACAATAAAATAACAAATGAATCGAATCAAATTGTAATTCGAGTTGTTAAATTTTGGTTTTAGAATATTTTGGTTTTTCGAGTATAAATCGAAATTATTAAAAGTACTAGAGACTAACCCAAAGGCAAGCCTAGAGAAAATAAAGCATAACGCATGAAATCACCATTCCATGGCCTATTATATATATATATATATATATATAAGTTTTTGAACTCATACGTGAGTTCTCTTTCGATGTGGAATAACTTAATAGTTTTTGAGTTTTGGGTTAGTGAGATAAGCTATTTATAAACCTTTTCAGCTCTTCAAAACATATTCATTTTCAATGTGGGATTGTGAGTTAGTGAACTCACCTTTTGAACATCCCTTTATTTCACATCGTTTAGTTTAACTTTTGAAGGGTAGAGGATAGCTTATAAATAAAGCCGGACTTCCTTGCTCCTCCTTTTGATCGTGGGTTGTGGTTCGTAAAGTACATGCTTTGAGCTTCAAATTTTGTGGCCCATTATGGGTCGCTCTTCAAATTTTTAGAATTACAATAAAAAAGTATAGTCCAACTTTAATTTTAATAAATTATAAGCTTATTTTAATTTAAGTGAAATAAATTAGGTGTAATGTTCTATTTTTGTAAAAAATCGATTTAAAATTTTTTGAAACCGAAAACGAAGAGTGGTTAAATTTCGGTTCAATTTGTTTTGAATAAATTTAAATGAAAAATCGAATAAACATATGTTTTTCGGTTCGGTTTGGTTCGATTTTTCAGTTTTAATCGAAGTTTGCTCACCTCTAGTTATGTTGGGAGCCTTGGGTGTTTGAGTTAAAAAAAAAAAAAAGACTAAAAAGCTTGTAGTCTAGTGTTAGTGGTCTCTTACAACAAGATGTCATGGGTTCAAATTTCAACGGACTAGTTCTGCTAGGAGTTTTGAATATGTGAGTTTTAAAAAAAAATCAAGTTAAAATTTAAAAGGGGTGTGTGTATATAGGTAGGGGTGAGCAAACTTCGATTAAAACTAAAAAATAGAACCAAATCGAACCGAAATACCTATTTTGGTTCGGTTTTTCATTTAAATTTATTCAAAAAAACAACGAATCGAAATTGAATCACTCTTCGATTTTGGTTTCGTTTCTAAAAATTTTAAATCAGCTTTTCACCGAAAATCGAACATTACACCTAATTTATTTCACTTAATTAAAATAAGGTAAAAATTTATTAAAACTAAAGTTGGGCTCATATTTTTTTTATTGCACTTCTAAAACTTCGAAAACCCGCCCATAATAGGCCATAAAATTTGAAGCCCAAACCCCGTACTTTATGAACCACAACCCACGACCACAAGGAGGAGCAAGGAAATCTAGCTTTATTTATAAGCTATCCTCCACCTTTCAAAAGTTAAACTAAACAATGTCGGAGAAAGGGATGTTCAAAAGGTGAGTTCACTAACTCATAATCCCACATCGAAAATGAACATGTTTTGAATAGTTGGAAAGATTTATAAATAGCTCATCTCATTAAACCAAAACTCAAAAACTATAAAGTCATCCCACATTGGAAAAAAAATTCACGTATGAGTTCAAAAACTTTATAAATATCATAGGCTATGGAATAGTGATTTCATGCTTTATGCTTTATTTTATCTAGGTTTGCCTTTGGGTTAGCCTCAAGTACTTTTAATAATTTTGGTTTATACTTGAAAAACCAAAATTTAATAATCGAATTATAATTTGGTTCGGTTGTTATTTTATTGTATTTGGTTAACCAAAAATTGAATCGAAATTATTAAAAATCAAACCAAAAAACCATTTGCTCACCCCTATGTGTAGGTTTTTCCAATTTAATTTCAAATTTATTTATGTTGAATATTGCTTAAATAATTGTTAGTTTAATTGGGTGATTAATAGATTGGTGAATTGTTGAGTCTCCTAATTTTTAGGGACGAATGACGATTCCCTATTGATCTAGAAAAGAAAAATGAAAAGAACAAAAAAAAGGAAAAGAACAAAAAAAAATGTATTGAGAAATGTTAGGCGAAAATTAAGAAGTATTATATCTAATAGAGACCGATGTTAATTTAAGTCAATCACATTAAGTAATTAGGTCGTTATCCAACATATCGGTTATGTCAAGACTTAAAATTGATCCAATGTTGAATTGACGAGACTCCCACGACGAGATTCGACAATCGATTCAATATGATGCCACAAATAAAAATAAAAAAATCTATTAGCCTAGGAAATAAAACTTGGAATTTTGACTTAAGAATAATTTTGGCAAACAATAAATTTTTGTAGTAGATAAGCTTTAAAATTAAATTAGACATGGTACTTTTATAAAAAACGATGCATTTGGGTGATTGATATGTTCCCAAAGGTATAACCAACTCTTTGGATTAAAATTTTTGAATCAATGTCGATTTTAGATTTTCTAGTTCTTTTAATACTAAGTAGCGACTCTAAAAATATGTTTTAGCTCACATTCTCGGCAAATAAACAAACAAATAATTCTTAATATTAATTCTTGAAAGTCACCAAAAGGTCGAGTAGCAACATTAACCTATTCATGTTTTTCATTAATTTTTCTATTGATCAACCACTTGTTTTGTAATTGGCAATCATAAATGGATCTTAATATTTTTTTTTCTTGAATTTAATTTTAATTGAACCTTACATGCATTCAGATTAAAAGACATGATGTTAAATTTGTTTGGCCAACTAAAAGGATTGAGAATTTTATTTTTAAAAAATAATGTTTTTCCTAATTGAGAGTACTAAAAAAATTACTTTTAATAAGTAGAAAGTGCCACAAACTTAATATGGAAAATATTTATTGGAAACACAATCATGTGAAAATTGTTAGACTAATTTCACGATCTCGAGACAATTAATTCCTAGAGAAAGCTACAATTTTAGAGCTCAATCTTTTTTTTTCTATTCTAGCATCCAATCAATAAAATCTTATATTTTAATATTCAATCTTCAAAATTTTTTTTTAGTATATGTAGTCACCTAAGAGTATAAAATAATGACGTGTTTGAAATGACTTGTGACGTGGTAGTTAATTTCAAACACGTTAGTATTTCTCACTCTTAAGTGATTGTGGATAAAAAGATTAAAAATTAAAGTTTTGGTATTAAAATAGAAGAAATTATTGGTCAAACACTGAAGCATAATAAAAAAAAAATCGAAATTTGGAAGTGAAAAATGCAATTTTCTCTTTCATTAACGGACCAACTTGAGCCAAACCAGTTTTAAAGATTAAATTAGAAATCAGTTCCTTTAGTTTTAAGAAACAAATTAATTACTCTTCTCTATTTTAAAAATTAATCATTCAATCCTTTTTATTCATGCTCTTTTCTAATTTGTTTTTTAATAAAAATAAAAAAATATATAAAAAGACTGATGAGGAAAAAAATAAATTTTTTTAAAAATAATATTAAATTAAACGTAATCAGTACTAATTAAAAGCTTATATAATTATTTTTTGAAAAAAAGACTAAATAGTTTATTTCTTAAAACTAGAAGGACTAATTTATAATTTACCCCAGTTTTAAAAGAATTACCAGAGTCTACGGATAGGGGGGCATGGACACGTGGTGAGCGTGGATCAAAGAAAGAGCGAGTGCGAGACTGATCGGGAAAGGAACCAACCAGCCTTAATCTAGTGGCTAATCCTCCTAGCGTCGTGGAAAGCAAAAGCAACAGACATGTAAGCTGACGTGGCATGCATCCAACGGATCACTAACCACACCATCTTTATTATTTTATCAGATGACCTCTTTGTGGAAGCAAACAAATAGCAACAACAATAATTATATATATTTTTTATTTTTTAATTTTATAATGAGGATAAAATTATTTTTATAAAAAAAATAAAAAATGGTGTATTATTATTGCAGTACGTTAATTTCCAAAAAAAACAACATTATTAACCGCTAATCTGACGAGGATGTTGATGGTGACGCTGTTTTTTATTTTTATCACTCAATAATTAAATAAATTTATAATAATAATTACAATTTCTTTGCTTATGTTTACGAATGAATGATACCATTAGGTATATTTATTTATTTATATATAGTAATCAGAAATTAAGAGCAGAGTTTGGTCTGAGTTCTGAGAAAGAGAGAGGGAGAGAAAGAAAGAAACAAGAAAATGGAAATAGGGTTCTTGGGGTTAGGGATAATGGGAAAGGCCATGTCCATGAATTTGCTTAAAAATGGCTTCAAGGTCACTGTCTGGAACAGGACTCTCTCCAAGGTACCAACTTCTTGTCTTCTTCTACTACTACCCTTACTTTTGCAAAAAGTTTCATTTCATTTTGTTCTTGGGATTTGATTGATGCTTTTTATTCACTTTGATAGTATGTGTGATTTAATGTAGTAACTAAGGTTTTAATGGATAGTAGTTAGCTAGATAAACATGTTGTGATATTATTTTTGTCTTTTACGATAATTGATAAAAAAATAGTTTGGTTGCTGTGAAACAACCGCAGTGTAATGAACTGGTGGAGTTTGGTGCATCAATCGGAGAAACTCCTGCACAAGTAGTCAAGAAATGCAAACTTACTATTGCTATGTTGTCCGATCCTGCCGCTACTCGTTCGGTCTGTAATTTCTAACATGTTTTGGATTTTGATTGAATACTGAAATTATTATGAATAACATCCGTTTTCCATGTAATTTGGCTCTTCTTACTGAAATCCGTTTGTTGGTTTAGGTGGTTTTTGATAAAGATGGTGTACTTGAGCAAATTGGCAGTGGAAAAGGTTATATTGACATGTCCACAGTTGATCCTGAAACATCGTCCAAGATCAGCGAGGTTTCTAATTGGATGCTAATGCTACTCTTACTGTAGATTCTTTCTTGTGTTTGGTAGAATGCCTTTGAATCCTTATGGAAACTGTTATATGATATCCTTAAAGATGTCCAGCTTGCTGACTGACGGTTAGTCCAAGAGGAAATGATGCTCCATTCATTTTCTACGGAGCTGATATGATTGAACTGCATCTAGCACCAACAATTTGGGAATTACTGAAGGCATGCTTTTTGAAAACAATAGGAATAGTTTTTGTAATGCTCTCGGTGTATCTTCTTTACAGTGACCTCTGCTTGAAACTTTGAAGAGTAGATAGAAGGATTGTTATCTCGTCATAAAACTCTAGCTATTATTGGATATTTCTTTTTGTGCTAACATCCTGATATGAATTTGGACTTGTTCGATTAGGGAAAAGAAAATAATTTGTTAAAGTACAATGTGTGCAGAAGATGCTATGTTACTAATGCATGAACTTACGATGTGTAAATCAAAAGCTTTAGAGACCTTCCATTTATAATCACCTGTTCTTCTTTTTGTGTTTTTGTTACTGAAGACTGCAAAACATCTCTAAGCATCTGGTGTTGGTGGTTTTTTTTAGCCAGATATCGGTGGCCGTTTTTTTTTTTAATTACTAAGCCACATGGCTGATATCTACAGGCAATTACATCAAAGGGCGGTGCCTTCCTTGAGGCTCCTGTGTCAGGTAGCAAGCAGCCTGCAGAAACTGGTCAACTAGTAATCCTTGCTGCTGGGGACAAGGTAAAATAGTACATTGGTTTCTGATTTAGCTGTTTCATGCTGTCTGATTAACTTTCATACAGGCTGTTTTGCTGCATTTTTCCCGTTTGAAATATCAGAGGCAGTAAAATCAATCCCCACATCTGCAGTCTATTGACATTTGCCTACATACAGGACCAAGTTGTATCTCTTAAATAAATAACTTAAAACAGTGGATTCATCTGATTTTGGATAACTTGTCGGCATATTGCATCCAGCATTTTAGAGATATAGACATAAATTGAATCTAGAGAGGTGTAAATGGATGAAGTTTTAGATGACTGTGTCATCTTGCCCTGTAGGTATTTACACCTGTTACTTTTGCATGAATAGACTCATACTCTAATCAATCTCCTTTTTCCACTGAGATGGGAAAGTGGTTATCAGAATTTATTGCTGCTATAAACTGGTTTCAAATGTTCAATTCTGCCGCATAATATCTTAATAAATAGTTTGAAGCTGTTGCCTGGGCTGTGCTAATGTACAATCTATTAGTTTTTCAGAACTGGTGTGAATACGACATAACTTAGCAAACTTAATGCTAACACTGACAGATGTTGCAATTCCTTCCCGAGGTTCTGGGGAGAAAAGATTGGCAGCAAGCTTAGTCGTCTGAGCACAAACTATAATAAATGATTTTGATAATACAGCTAATAATGCAGACTTCTTGATATCTTCATTGATGTGAGGAACAAAAGCATGTTTCTGTATGCCTCTGTTGTTTACTGCTTCATTTCACAATTTCTGGTCTTAGGAATTGTATGAAGAAGCAATTCCAGCTTTTGATGTCTTGGGGAAGAAGTCTTTCTTCTTGGGGCAAATTGGAAATGGAGCAAAAATGAAACTTGTGGTCAACATGATAATGGGCAGGTAAAGGTTGCTTTTAGCATTGAGCAATATAACTGACAATTTGTCGATTCCACCTCAGCAGTATCTAAATGTCAATCTATATATGAGAAACCAATTTTAACCTTGCATTTTGCATACGTCAAAAGTGAATGTTTATTGTGATTAGAGCTGACATAAAAAAATCTACACCCCAGCTGAGTATTTGTTTCAGCATAAAGCACAATCACTAGGTGTTGATGTTCTCAATGTTGGATATGGATTATGATGTCTTGTCTTTTTCAGTGTGATGAATGCATTTTCGGAGGGACTCGTGCTGTCAGAAAGGAGTGGACTCAACCCTCATGATCTTCTTCAAGTCTTGGTGAGATAGCCAATGAGATATTTCATGTAACTTGTGTTCGATTAGTGTCTGACTCTTTTATGAGCTACTTTTCTGGCAGGATCTAGGTGGAATTGCTAATCCAATGTTCAGGGGAAAAGGACCTGCTATGCTCAAGAGTAATCACTCCCCAGCATTCCCTCTGAAACATCAGCAAAAGGACATGCGGTTGGCTCTAGCTCTTGGGGATGAAAATGCTGTATCAATGCCAGTAGCTGCTGCAGCAAATGAGGTTATACTCCTTTCATCCTAGTTATCTTTTTCAAACAAGTTGTTTGGTCCTGGTGTGAAATAGCATATGGGTTAATATGATCAGTGAAATTAAAAACGAAAATACACAAGAATTGCTACTGGATCATTTCAAATCAAATGAAGAAGAACAATCAACCATATATGAGGTGTGTGAATCGCAAAAATGATAGTTCGAACTTGACTCAGAGCCACTGTTTTTCTTTTTGTCTGCGTAATATAGTTTGATCGCTTCATAGCTGTATGCTTTACTTTGTCCGAAATATTTTTGGCCTTCTTATTTGCTTTTTATCCTGTGGTGAAGTGTGGTTTTGAATAAACTGCCTCATACTTTCTGAATAGGTGCGATTAGTTATACAGTTCTCTTTATGACTAGGCAACCTCTCATATTTAGATTTGCTGAATTTATCAATTTCATACTGATTTGCTGATAAATCTTAAGAGTTTCTTTCCTAAGTTAGCTCTAGATGGTTCAAGATTAGTCTGGCTGTAAAACCCCAGATGGTTCAGGTTAGGTCTGGTCATCTGCCAGCATTAAGGTTTGATCCAGTACGTAGAGAATTATTATTGAATTTTGGAGTGATGGTGCTGTTGTTGCACGCAGCGAGGAGGGTTAAATCTTATTACTGATGGATTTTAGATTTGAAACATTGATCGTGAATATACTATATGTATGTAACAATCATGGTAATAGGATTCTGTGAGTTCTTTTGGAGTGGTTGTGTTGTTTAGGAGTGAACTCCACATAGATTCGTATCCATGCAAACGCTTGTGTATTTTAGGTTAAAAAAAAAAAAATGTCAGTAAAGGTTGAAAGTGGAAACAAGTAGCAGAACATACACGATGACCACCGAATACTTGATAGGAATGCTGAGTTTTACGAGAAGCTTTTGATGATTGAACTCAAACTCAGCAAATTTTATTTGTTTGCAGTCTTTCAAGAAGGCCAGAAGCATGGGATTTGGGGACCTAGACTTTTCGGCCGTTTACGAGATTTTGAAGACGACCAAGGATTAATTACTCTTTGATACTTCACATAACAGTACTTCAAAGCACATTGCTCATCTCGGACTTAGTTTGCAGCTCTGGAGTTGTAGCCTGGTGAAGAAAAGCGTTTTGTGAAGCTGTGCACTTATTCATTAATCACAAGCTACAGGAAGCTACTTTACAGTGTGAATGGGTGACTGCGCACTTTTTTCTTTTCTTTTTTCTTTTCCTCTTTTGTTTGCTGCAACTAAGCTATTTGGACGTGAAAATAAAATATAATTTTCTTGCTTGATAAAAAGCAAACTTTCGTCTGTAACTTTTCTTGTATAGGAATAAACCGATTCCAAGATTACAAGATAACTCCACAGCCAGAATTATAGTATCAAAACGTTATGCGTAATAATTCCCAAAATTGAATTAAGGCATGATAACGTACAAAGAAAAATAACCTTGAATAGAGAAGCAGGAGAACTCGTATTTCTTTTCAGCAGTTTACTTATTGACAATTTTAATGTCCATGCCAACAGTCGAATATCAGGTATACATGGGCAAAACTTGATTCCTTCATACAAGAAGTAAAAAGGAGATGCTAAATGCTAATATCCTTCTCTACAAGAAACATTGGAACGGAGCTTATTTTTTGCTTCTAAAAGGGGGCCATTGGTAAAAATATGAACCGATATTTATGTATATATCTATTCAATGCTGCACAACATCTAATCACTCACTCTGAGTGCACTAGTACAGCAACGGTCGAAAATGGCAAATAGTCAAACATCGACTCTATACAAGACATTGATCGCCTTTATCCTTTCAACTCAGACCCAAGACTGCATCACAACGATTCTCCTCATAGACAAACTGCAAAACATGCAATTATTTTGCCTTGGCAAGAAGTATTGGGATGACGACCACGATTAATGTTATGGCATATCAACCCATGACGTTTTCCAGATGCAGATTGAATGCCACTTGCACAACCTCCCCGTCAGACCTGGATATATTGCTGGGGAGTAGTCTTACCTGCAGAGAAGCATATCCTGATGTTACTGAAACTAGAATGCACAGAATTGCCAAAGATAAATAATGTCTTTTAGATGTAGCAATTAATAATATATATATATATATATATAGTGCCCCTTTATGACGAATGTCTTTCTGGTTTTTTGCAAGCAGGAGAAAATAAGTTTGCAAAAAGATGCTACTCCAATCACCTTGTATTTTTAATTTAGACTTCTAAATAAATTGAAAGTAATTTTAGAGTAACGACAAGAAAATACAAAAGACTCCTAATAAAGCATCACCAATCCACTTGGAATGAATTCCATTGTTTCTGTTAAATCAAAGTTACAAGCAAAGGCAACTCTAGTTTTCCTCACAGCATCAAAGAACAAAGAAAAGATTCTTTTCTACTGCCTAGACTTTATCTACACAAATAACAATAATAATAACCTGGCAGTTAAGCTCGATATATTTCCACATCATTGATGGATAGATGAGGTTCCCAATATAAACATGCCTGTACCTTTGTTCTGTGCTTCCTGCTTGTTTTCACATTGAATCTTTTCCAAATATGGAGAAATTAATTTATCCAACTTCATCAACCAAAGTGCAAGTGCAGATGATGTTTGAGGCATAATAGGAAAGCATGTGATGATTTCTTCCATAAAAGTATTTGAACCTTGCGCAAGATTACACTGACACAACCAATCCTCATTAATTGCAGCAACAAAATCAGTAACTACCTGAAAAGGTAAGTTAAGATGCTCTTTTAGAAAATCATACTTCAGGAAAACAGAGTTAAACCAAGAGGCATTTTTATGCCACTTTCAGCAAAAAAATGTACAGAGCACAAGAAAATAAAACCTGCATAAGTTCTGCCAAAGAAGAGGTGCGTCTAAGCCGTCTGACCCACAACCTATGAGCAAATTTTGTCCACGCACCCACCAAGGCATCTTCTGGCATAACATTCTGCATGATTAGGGCAATTGTTTAGAACATAGATGTTAGAAGAACAAAAATTGCATGAAGAAGGATACACTACAAAATTCCTAGAAAACTAATGCATAAAAGAACATTGGAATTGATATTACAACAAAAAATAACATTCCAGTCTTTACTTAACACTTAACAGACTGCAGACATTATACTTAAGAGTCTATCTATTTCTATCAAAGAAATATCCCATCCAAAGTCCTTATTTCCACAATCCTTTATAGATTATGTTTTACCTACATACATATACCCCACAGCCCTTCTTCATTATTTTAATCTCACTCATTTCTTTGTGTGCCTATGCATTTGCCATGATAAGTGTGTTTCTAATAAACTTCACATAAAACCATAAATCAATGACAGATAGAATGATGAGACGCCACACCTGCCTAAGAAACTTCCTAGATCTTGGAGGCTGACCAATCAAAATACAAAGTGAACTAGTTGTCAAATGCCAGCACATCATAGATGCATCAGAATGAATACTACAAGAAAAGAAATTACCTGACCCGGCACATGCTACTCTTTGTTTAGGGGTCACTGGGTTCTGGAGGACTCAAATACACAGCTCAATTTGACTTTTGAACAGAATTAAAAAAGATGATGCAGGTAAAACTTAAAGCTGCATTAGAGGTGATATTTGATGAAACATCTCAATTCACATGTCCATACATGTAGTTATTCATAAGAAATATCCATCCAGTTCTTCCTCCTAAATTTGATCAATTTAAAAAATAGTCTTGACAGTGATGTCTTAATGTCTTCTATGTTTAGCGCGCGTACACACACACACACCCAGATATGCATGCAAGCAAAAACAAGCACGTATATGACATTGTAGTGAGACCGAGATAATCCATCAGAGCATACCTCAATTGCATAAACTGCAGCTTTCAGTGATTGCAACTGTGACGAGAGAACTTTATGTTTTGGAAACAACACATTGTCCTGTTTCTGTCTACAAGTTGCTGAATGAATGGCATATCTTTCCTCAAGATCAAAATCAAGCTCAAATGTTGTATGACAAATTTTGCAATGCTTCTCATCTCTCCAGTACAGGTCATGACAAGTTTCACATCTGCTAAGTGATTCAAGATATGACCTTTTTCTACGTTTTACTGCATTAAGATCACAGTAAAAGCAGTTCCATATCCAGGTATCAAACTCTCGGAGACGGTTCCATTTCTGGTTTTCTTCTTCCCCCTTCTTTCCTGTTTCAAGAACTATTGCACCCATTGGAGGCAAAGAATCATTTGCAACATCAGTAAGGGTTAGGTTGTTGTCTACATCAGACACTGGAGAAGAACTATCTTCTCTAACTATTTCCAGCTCAGACCGGTCTGATTGTGTGAAGTACCGAACTCCAAAATCATTTACTACCCTCCTTGACATCTCTTGGCAGAGAAAAGCTTCCCTCTTCTCCAAAGATTCAATAAGGAGGGCCTCCCGTGTTCCCCTGTCGTCTAAAACTGATAATAAAGCACGTAAAGCCTGTATTTGGAGTGAGCACATGCAAAGAAGAGATGATCAGAGAGCAATGTCAATAATATCATAAAACAAGGCATGTAATCACTCTCTATAAACTAAGCAATGGGTAAATATCAAGACAAAGGCTGACAAGTCTACCTCTTCAGTATCAATCACTTCCCAGTGACCATCTTCAGAAGATTCAAAATAGACTCTCTTATGGCCAGGGTCATATGAATTACAAGGGCCCAAGAAAAGCCAATATCTATTGTACCTACGATCAGACCCTAAAAAGATAGATTGCATTGGGTGCAAATTGATCCCATGTCCTGTCCCTTTTAGCTCTTTCTGTTCGCCAGAAAGTTTATCCCTACCATCAAACTTCGAGAATAACACTGAAGAATCAACAGGGAAAAACTTCAATGATGTGTATGCTTCTTTTGAGTCATTTATTTGACCAGCATGGACCCAGGATGGCCTGGGCACATTTTCCTTTTTTGATGATGATCTCTTTATTTTTGCTCCAGAACCACAGTGGTATATGTTAGGAACAGATTCAACAGTAGGTCTTGCTGGATCCTAGGGGGGAAAAAAGGCAGCAGCAATCACTCAATGGTTAAATAAAAATTATATTCATATAGACATTGTTATAAAGTTAATAATTTGTATAAATCATTTTTATAGTTACATAATGCTGGGAATAATCGCAAACAATGGGACCAATGTGGGGACAACCAAATACCACATTGGACGAGTTCACATTAGTAAATCTCCAACCCTATAAAACCAGTAAGTACTCGGCATTTGAAATAAAAAAATCCTTCCTAAGGGTCAAAACCACAGTTGCCAACCCAGTGAGAAAAGCAATCATTCAATTCAATTGAACATTGATCTATTAAATCATTGCATTGATCCTGCTTAATTCATTAAGAAAAAACAAATATCTAGTTGCAAACAAAAGTAACCTACAACAGGCTTAAAAACTTGATCATTACCAACCGAAAAAAAAAAGGTATATACATCCAAGGAAGAAAACAAATGAGATCAAAAGCTCCATTCATTTGCAAGAAAAACTTTTTCCATTCTTTATCATGTTTAGTGCGTTTCTCCATGAAATTGATTTTCCAAAAGCAATTGGCTTTCATGCAAAAACCAGCGCCTTAAAATCTTAAATTTATTACGGTTATAGGTGTTACCTCCAATCTAATACTGGATCCAGCACTGACAAGATCAATCAATGCCACTAATGCATTCAACTTTTCTTCAATGCTTAGATCTGAATATTCGCCTTCCATAAGTCCTAACAACCACACTTCTCCCGGATGGCTCTCATCAATTTCATTCTCAACTGTAAGCACCTTTCTTTTACGATAGTCAATAAGCTTAAGATTTCTTGGACTAGAATTTTCTGAATTGCAATCAGAATCACTGCTGCTAAATGCACTGCTATCATCAAAGTCTTCGTGAACAATTCCGGAGTCCTCAGAATCTGATTGAAAATCACTGGCTTCCTTTGTAAGAGTGTTGATGCGCAGACGAAAAGTAGATGATGAAATCTTTTCAAACAAAGTGATATCACTTGCAAGAGTTGAAGAGATCAAAAGCTCCAGCTCATCAGTTGTGCCAGCAAGATTTAATTCCACGATCTTCAAAACAAAACCAAACATTCAACACTACAGGGAAGGAGATCATTCATGAAGTACCAACTTCAAGAACAGGAACAAGAAAATAACTAGATAGTGGTATCATTTCCTTCAAAGCAGATAAATCCCTTTAAGTCCAGTAACTTACTTGAGAAGACTTTGCCAGGTCAGAAACTTTCCATCCATTATTTCCTTGAACTGACAGAAGCCGAAATAATTCACCTTTAAGAGTTCCAGCACGTAGGCCATACTTCACCATGAGACTCATTTCCTACAAACAAATAAGCTTTAGGCACCCATTTATGTTTTTCTTTCGAATAAATATTATTACATATAAAATCTGATAGCAATAGACATCCTAGACTATAAATTATAAATGAAAAACATCAAAGAAACAAATAAACTTGCAAGCTGATTAAATGATACCTTGCTGAGGACTTCCCTACGAAATCCACCTTGCTTTGAACCAAAACCAGCTGCAATCAACACTTGACGTAGTATTTCAGTCCACGTTAGAGGGTTGAGAGAATTTTTCCAGAACTCCGCAACAAATTCTTGATCTTCAACCTGACAAAGCAGAGTAATAACCATACAAAGATTATGAATGGTTATTTGAACTTCTAACCAAAAAACTGAGAGAGCAAGAGACAGACTAGATCTGGTATGTCCCAAATTCTCCAAAGGAAAAGCACAGAAACTAGATACTAGAAAAGCTGATCTATAGCAAACCATATATATATTCCGAAATATTTGTCCTTCCCTTGAATATTCATAACTGGATTATGAAAGGATGGGTTGAGTGGATGAGTTAATTTAAAAGTTAGACTCATTTCCAATCATTTGTTGTGTCCAACATCATGATTCCGATAAACAAACACATCAAACATTTCTTTAAACTCTGCATTGTACGGGTGACTAGAGATTTCTGAACTTGTAAAGCACAAGATTTTGAAGAAATCCCAGATGCATTACGGCGCATCATAAAAAGCCAAAGAATTCTAATAATCATGTAACATTTTCATTATGGTACCCGAAACATCAACAAGTTTTACTTCAAAATTTAAGTTTCTCGCAAATTTGTATCAGCCTGAAACTTTGGTATTCAAATGGATTGAATTCTCATAGAGACAACATTGCCTCCCAAAGGCTCAGAATATAAAGCTATGGAAACTTCAATAGCTTCGTTGATATAGCTAACCATTCCTTGTTCTAAAAAGCATTTTGCATAATACATACTGGTACTATAAATCACAACAACATTTTGTATCAATGCTAATTGTTAACAATTTTTGCTTTTACAGTCCTACAATAACCACTGAATGAAAATAATCCTGTTCCATGTCAATCACTTTCCAAGTTTCTCAGCATCTTGGAACATTTAGTACTAGCTGTTAGTTGCCATAAGGCTTTACTGGTCTTCAATTGTACTACAGCTGAGTCCTAAGCAAGTAATATATCAATATTTATTGACTGCTTGTCATCTGACAATTCTGCTACCTGAATTACATCTTCAACATATAGGATCCTCTAACAAAACCATCACTCAGAGACCAAACTTATGTTCATGGACTTGAGCTACAAGGTAATATACTCATAGACCAAATAATCCTGTTCCATGTCAATCACTTTCCATGTTTCTCAGCATCTTGGAACTTTTATTACTAGCTGTTAGTTGCCATAAGGCTTTACTGGTCTTCAAAGGTACTACAGTTGAGTCCGAAGCAAGTAATATATCAATATATTATTGACTGCTTGTTATCTGACAATTCTAGTACCTGAATTACATATTCAACAAATAGAATCGTCTAACAAAACCATCACTCATAGACCAAACTTATGTTCATGGACTTGAGCTACAAGGTAATATACTCACTGAGTGAAGAAGTGCAAGAAACTTGCAAGATATGCTCAAATGAGGGAAGAGTCCACTACTGATCTCTGTTTTGACATCAGATAAAAGAAGCTTCAGAAGGGCCACATGAATTTTTCCAAGTAAAAAGGAATCCTGAAAGTCACATATAGACAGATGAAACCAACGATGACAAATTTAAATGCAACCAAAACAACAGAAACTAAGTGTTTTGTTTTTTGTTTTTGTTTTTTTTTTTTTTTTTTTTTTTGAGCAAGAAACTAAGTTAAGTACGAGGTAAACAAAAGATCTACTCAGAGAATCAACCTTATCATGGAATGCTTGAGCCAGCTCATCAAGAGTGAATGGGCATATATCAACTGTAACGGAATAAGTATAAAGAAAATGGAAGACCTGCAAATGACATGCCAACCTAACTTCAGCAAGAGAATTTAAATATAAAAGAAAAAAAATCTTAAATCCTATCCAAGGTAGCATAGGATGCATGCGTCTCATAAAAGAAAAAAAAAAAAAAAAGGAAGAAAGAAAGCAAGAAAGAACTTCTGATTAAATTACTAACAATCAGATTACTTGGGGGTGAGGGGTGTTTACAATTATTAGTGCAGCAAATATGATGATTCTTAAATGCAAATTACAGTAATGACAGTGAATAAAATGCTTCTTTTCTCCCAGTCAGCATATAGGTTATAGCTGATCACGTTCACATGCTGAAGCGCAGGAGTGAAAATTTTACTGACTTCCCAAATGATTCGTGGAGAATGTTGGGGAGAATTTTAGAAATCGTGAGAGAATTTCCTCTATATTATGTAATAAAAATGGGAGATCCTTGATAAAAGTAATAGTAACAGATACATAAGTAAAAGCAAGGCATTGTCCAGTGCAATGGTATTTGGTAAATGCATCGGTGGGTCAATAACAAGGTCTTTACATCCACAGCTACCTAACCTCCCCCTCTGCCACAAAAATATCACCATGTCCTCTTAAATCCAGTCCTAATGTAGCAAGTAGGTAGCCACAAGTATCTTTATCATTGATTTTTCAGAATCATGTAGATCAGACAAGCACTAACTGAAAGCGACCCACATATACAAGCATAGCCGTTTTGCACAGAAGGAAAATGCAGAGTTATGACTTGCTTATGAAGGTGATTAATGTTCACCATGCATCTTCAGATATAATCATCTCTATATTTGAAATATTTAACATTGATGAACTCATTAAATGTATCGTAGACTAATATATAAGAGCACAATTTGCATAATAAAATATTTTCAAAGCAGATAAGTAAATTAAGTAAACATTATTAGGCAATATTCATGGACAAATATTATAAGCTGCTTCTAGGTACATCATATTCAAGTACTAAATAAATAAATATGAATTCGCTGAAAAGGATAAGGTAATAAGAAAGATCTATTCGCTGAAAAGGATAAGGTAATAAGAAAGATCTTCCAAGCAAGATAGATGCTGCATTGCAAAGCACTAAACAGCTATTCATGCTCCACGCACCTTAAATAGTTTCTTGACAGTCTCTGGAGAAGAATCCCAAGGCTGCATAGCAAATGGTTGCTTCATCTTCACAGAATTTGGAGGAAATTTAGCCAGCAAATCTGGAAGAAAAACCACTTATTGGTAAAGAACTCAAGTATACCCTATACACAATAGCTACATAGAAAATTCTAGAGGCACACTGAAATACGACCAAAACAAACCTTTACAAAGAGAACAGCCATACAGTCTGTCTGCAGCACAATGTTCAGTACATGTTAGTGGATTAGGTCCAGCTTGTAGCTCTCTCAGCTCTAGCTCTTCATCATCCACTAACATTGCAAATTGATTAAGTCGTTCCTGATTCATTAATCCTTCCAGAGCGAGTTCACATTTTTCCCTGAAGGGATGCTTCTGGATCTCATCTCGTTTAGGTTCCACCTGCATAGCAAGTAAATTGATATTACCTCATTGGCAAATATGAACTGTAGCAATTCATTCAAGGCACTACAAAAATTATTACCTCCCTCTTTTTAACAGAAGGCTTCCTCTTCTCCTGTAATTTTTTTTGCAACATTCTCTGTTTCTGAAAGTGTAACACAGTGTCAGCAAAGTGGAAATAGCTCAAACAGAAGAATTGATTGATGCAACACATATTTGCTAAGATGTACTAAAGGACAGCCAAAAAGGATGATTATTCATCAAGAACAAAAGATCTTATGAGAAGCAGATTAGATGACTAACCACTAAAGAAGACACCGGTGGTCTTCGCTTCTTGTTTTGACGTGGCTGCTTCCGTGGCACGGGAGTTGATATTTGAGGTGCATCAGTTATTTGAGAGCCACCACAATGAATGCCAGTAGGAAAATCTCCACCTTCAGGATTTGTTACTCGCCATACTGTCATCAAACCCTTCCCCATACCATGTTTCTTCACTGGAGCAATATTATTGCAATTTTCACCATCAAAGGTGGCACCCATGGATACCTTTAAATGAAGAACAAAATGCATGTGAAACATTGTAAAAGAAGTGGGGAAACATTGTCCATGTAGCAAATTTTTTGCACTACCTTTCTCCTTTTGTTTGCTCTTTGGTTCTCTTGGCAAGATGGATGACAATTTCTGGAATCTAAACATGCAAATGATGTATGAGTACCAAAGAAAACAAAGGTGAAGCAAATTGGAACAACAAGGAACTACAAACGTTATGCAGTCACAATCCATATCCATCTCAGAGTTCTTCATAAACAACAAGAAGAGAGAAAATAAAATGCCAGCTGGTCACTATATTTCTCCAACTACTAGCGCATTAACCCACAGCAAAGAAAAGCAAAACCACAAAGCTCTTCCCTACATTTTTTTCAATCTCTTCTAAAAATTTTCCAACTCTTATTCTCTAAGAGAACAAATAAATAAAAACCCAATCGATGTGTACCATTTTAAATAAGTAGGAACTACCCCTCTGCACTACAATACCATCACTAACCAAGCATGCTACGGACTTTTTACCTTTACAACCATTAAATGCTCTAGTAGGAAGAGAATCAAACTCCACACCAAGGGGAGGACCATCTTTCCGAAATATTTTCCCCATGATATAATCAGAAGTCAACAATTCCTGAATAAGCACCAACTTCTTCTTCTTCTTGCATAACCTACCCTGAACCTCTGAAGGTGCTTGTTTGTTCTTTGAAGATGAAGGAATGTTAGACTTATCTCTGCTATGAGCAGACAGCTCCCACTGTTTAAGCATTTTTCTAGCATCAGAAGCAACTTCGGCTCCCTTTCTTCCTTTGAAAACTGACAGTTTCTTGGCCAAACGTGGTGGTTCTATCATTTCATTTTTGCTTTTGTCCCTCCTTCTTTTCTCAATAAACCATCCGCGAACCTGCTTGAATGTCAAGTTCAAGACCACAGCAAGATCTTCCATGGCCCCATGCGAAGGATACATATCCTCTGCTTCACAAAAAACCATTGCCGCCACTTAGAAAATGAATAATATACGGAATGCATAATACACCCTATGAAATAACACATAGTGCTCTAAACAGATTTCAAGGGAGAGTTCATATATATAAAAGTAACTGTAAACATATCAGAAATATTTAACAACAGAAAGAGAGGGAAAAAAAGGCAATTCAATTTGGGTTTTATACAAGTAAAACAAAAAACATTTATAGGTTGGGAAAATTAAGTTGCTTCTAGGAAACGCAAATGGTGTTTCTAATGAAGAAATCAAACCAGAGAAACTTCTCTTCCTGAATTAAAAACTGGGATTCACATAAAATAAAATTTCAAAATATTGAAAAGAAAGGTAGATGGTAATTCAAAATATAAGAAGAGATAGTAATATAATTAGAGAATAAAAAAGAAAAAGGAAACAAAAAAAAACCTGCATAGACTTTCAGAAGGGCTTGAAGCTGAAGTGGCGATTTCCTCTTCATTTCCGTCGTCTATCCTCTCTTTTAATTAACGGATTTGACGATAATTATTCAAATTGGATTCCCATATCCTGAACATACCAAACAAAACAATCATGAAGAAAACCAAACACCCTCAAATAAAAGAAAAAACAAGAAACAAGAATAAAGTACTAAACAGAAAATGATATAAACAATTTAACACACTCCCTCTCTACTTCCCTCCAAAGCATTTGTTTCCTTAAGTAGAAAATTGAAATGGAATAGAATAGTATAGTTAAGAGAGATTAAAGAAGAAGGCATGACTGAGAATAGTGGACTGAGAGTGAGAGAGGAGTGAAAGACTGCTTACTTGTTCTTAGAGAATTGCGGCGGTGGTGGAAATGGAGATGAGAAGAATATGTTGTGAGAAAGAGAGAGGGTTGAAGAAGAAGAAGAAGAAGAAGCTCAAGAGAAAGAGGAGAGGGGGTTAGGGGAGAGATTTTACTAAAAGCAATAGGGTTTTGGGTTTTATCATCTCTTTCTTCTTGTCATTTTTTTTCTAGTTTTTTTGTATTTTTATAATTATAATATCTCCGTTTTGGGTTTTTGTTGTTCCCTCTTAACTCGTAAAATAAAAAAAAAATGAAAAAAGAAAAAATGAAAAATGAAAAATATCTGCTGCGGCTCAGTCTTTACCATAAATCTTCCCCTGTCATTTTACCATTTCTTGCACCTCATTTAGGAGTTTCAGGACCAGCCATCAAATGGGCCCGTATTGGGCCAACCCAAGGGCTAAATAAAATCAGCATTACCAAAAACTGGTAAATTTGTTTTCGTCCTTGTCCAACAATACCTGCATAAGTCCACATAATTTTATGGGTCAAATTAGCAAAGTAAATTAAATTATGGCTTTTACGGGCCAATAAAACGAAGTGGTCATTGGGTTCGAGTGAGAAGCCCAGCCCAACCCAACTCCCGCCAAAAGGAGGGCGCCATCACCTCCCCTTCCGATTTCGGTCCATCTTCCCTCGCTCTGATTCTGATTTCTGGGGTGGTGCGTTATAGCAGCTTCTTGGAGAAAGCTCGCAAGCAAGCTAAAATGGCAAACAGAACGGAAAAGAATTCAGCCCCAACATCGAAAAGACAGTCTCTCAAAACCCAATCAATTTTCAACAATTACCCCTCTTGGAAAAACAAGGTTTGTTCTTCCTTTCCTTTCCTTTTTCATTTTTTTTTGAATGAATGAATAACTGTCATGTTTTTAACTTATCTAAATAAACAAAATTTTCGAATTATCAGTTGAGGGAAAACTGTTACAAAAGAGTGCGTGAAGACAGGACCCGATTGCTCTGGAACATGAGGTTGCCCACTGCTAAATCTGCTGATAACAAGGTCAGTTCACTTCCTTTTACTCCATCCTTCTTTGTTGCTTTTTTCTGTATTATATTTCGGATCTCTTCAATTCTTGATTTACTTACCCTTACTTTACCTCTCTCTTTTTTTTTTTTTTTTTGGGTAGGATTTTATCAAATCTGCTTTCAAGGAGATAGTTTCTGATGAACTGGAAAAAATTAAGAACTCGTCGTCAAATGAGCAGTTGAAATTTCCAACTTGTGCCCTTGAGGCAAGTGATGAGGTACTATGGGAATATGATGGTCTTCATGATGCTTATCAATGCGAGTGCGAAGAGATTTTGTTAGAAATGCAAAGGATCTTCTACGAAGATCTCAGAGATGAGACAACTAAAAAAGGTTTGTGTGTTTTTCTCTTACATATATTTACTTGTTTCTGGAGGGAAAGAGAAATCTTGTTCTGCCTATAAATATAGGATTGAGTGAATTTTCTTATGAATGTGCAGTTTTTGCAATTTGCATAAATAACTAGAAGGTAAATGGAAAGTTTATTGTTTGCAGTTGTTATTGTGTTTTCTTCATTGTTAATCTTTTGAAACTCTTTTTTCTTATTCACCGTGTAAAAACACATGCGGGGGGTGTATTTGACTGAAATTAATTGCCAATCTGAATTTTGCAAACCTGAAGTATAGCATATGCCTATGCTTGTATGTCTAGTTATGTGCTAAGGAGGTTATAATCAATTTTTGAGATTAAATGTTTAATCTAGCTCCATGCAGAACCAGAAAACTATATTGAAACCTGGGAAGACAAAGAAGATGATTACTTGGCTCGTGCTGTTTATGAACAAATGCAATTGAGTGACAAGAAGGTATGAAAGCATGCAGTTATGTTTTGATTTTTATTTGGTTAATCAAGCTTGGTTATATATATCTAATGTGCACCTAGAGATGATCAAAATACTCATCCTTGTAGCTGACATTAGCATTTGTAGGTTTGATTCTCTACTAGTGTCAATAATAATGTCATTTAGATGCATTCCATGCCCAAAATTTTTGGTAACATATCAGTGTGTGTGCAACAGGTTAAGCCCCTAGGTGTTAGTTTCCACTTCCCAGCTAGTTTATCCAATTCCAGCCTTAGGAACTTTACCAGATAAAAACAACTTGCTAGAATGGTTAAACAATTTGATGAAACTAAACAAGACAATTTGATTTAAGTCAAATTAGTTAGCTTGAGATTCAAGGACCCAATCAAAATCCCAAAGATTGATTGAACTGTCGCTCTTATGCCAAATGCGATAGTGGTTAAGTAAAACCAGAGGACAAAGGGTGTGACAGAATGTAGACATTGAGAAGCCCTAGGCTTTCTGTTTCATGTATGAAGTATATCTTCTTATCCTTTCTGACTTCTTGTTTTATTTATATATCTTCTTATTGGAATTCAAAATTTGGATTGCTAGAAATTATTTTTCTGCACTTGTGCCCCTTGGGCATAACGGAACATACAGTTGTGATCATTAAAGTTTCTTTTGCTGCTGCTTTCATGCTAGCCTAAAGAGAAATTAAGTTTATAAAGCTTTCTGACATTGATGCTAGGTGGCCAAGGAAATCTGGTGTCCCATATGTAAACAAGGAGAGTTGCAAGAGAACCATCAGCGCATATATTGCAGTCTTTGTGAACTTCAACTCAATAAAGGCGATGAGGTCTTGCATCTCAACTTCATTGGTTTCTTTTGGCATGAAATAAATTACCATTTTTGTCAATATTATTATATAGGTTGACTTGTATCTTTTATTCCTGTAGATTGTTCCATTTAAGTACTGTAGTTAAGCATGCAATTACACTGAAAAAATGGAATATAATTTGCAGCAATTGTACCTCATTCTAAGTATGATTTGTACATGCTTTGGAGCCAATCTTTGACAAAATGCCTAATTACCTGCCATGCAGAAGTTAATAATTGAATTCTGAAATTTCAAGCCATTTGATGATGGATGATTTACCTACTCCAACTTTGTCATTCTATTTTATTTTCCCTGGTTTTAGTATAATATGTGCAAGCCTCAATGAACTTTTCTTTCCATCTTTGTGCCTCAAACATCCCATTAATAAACCCACCCACTCTTGCCATTTCTTTCCTTTCAGCTCACTCTGTGGCATGCAGTTTCTTTAATTTCTTTTGGGAAAGGAGGTCCACAACCAAACATCCAATGCATTAACATAATCAAAGGTTGCATAGTTTATGCAAGCAGTTGAGATGAGGTTATTTAAGTGATTTAATATTGTCTAAGTTGAAATATTTATATATTAAGATTAATAAAATTTGGTATAATGAATTCTAGAGTATGTTTCCTAACTTGATGCCACCAAAAAAATTAAAAAACTTAATTGATCTCACAAAATTTAATTCTCTCTTTCCTGCCCTCTCCTTTAAAGAATTGTTCAGTTCTTGTACTTAGTGATGCTCTTAAGAACTTTATCCTATAATGGGAATTACTAAAACAAGAGTCAAAATTTTCTATAAATTAATGTTCAAAATTTCTTTGTAAATAGAATTTCTTCTCTCATTGTGTCCTTTTAGTGCCCAACTATTTTCTTCCCGAATAAAAGGGTGCCACAACTTTTTATTATTATTATTTATTTTCTTCCCTAATAAAAGGTGCCACAACTTTTTTTTAATATATATTTAATTCTCCTTTCCCAAGTTTCTTACTTCTTTCTCACTGAGATTTTCTCTCATAGCCTTTTCCTTCCAGTATTTGTATATTTGATTGAGCAATACTTGATCCATAAGTTCTTGGTTGTCTAGTTCTTCTTATTTTAAACTTTACGAATTTGTTCATTTATATAATACATATTTTTTAATATATAGCATCACTAGTGATGTTATCATGCAATATTTCTAAAAATATGAGAAGCCATGGACAACTATGAAAAAAATATTATTCGCTCGTTCTACTGTTTTTTAATCTTTGTTGTCGATTCTTTTTATTCTGTATATTTTTCATTATTTAAGAATTTTTAAATACTTTTAAGATATAACTTTTTAAACAACTGATGGTTATTAATCGACTCTACTGAGAAAATTCTCTGGCTCTGTCACCGATTGTATTACACTAATATATTTCTCAACTTTTTTTTTATTTCGTATGTTTTTCATTATTTAATAATTTTTAAATATTTTTAAGATATAACATGTTAAACAACTTATGGTTATTAATCGACTCTACTGAGAAAGTTCTCTGGCTCTATCACCGATTGTATTATACTAATATATTTGTCAAATTTTTCCTGCCTAGAATTTTAATTAGTTGTTCGTTATGGAATTTGTGACTTCTTACTTTCTTCATATTTCCATAAAGATTGACATCATATTAGTGAAGAAAGGGGTCTAATAACTTAAAAGAGCAATTGATATTCTTGGTAAAGTTACCATATAAAGTGATGTATCAAAAGAACAATTGATATTCTTGGTAAAGTTACCACAGTAGCGATTTATCTTGACTCTGCTTCGTCATTTCAGGTTAACTTGGCCATATTGCAGACCCGACTAGCAGAAGCCCATGAGGAACATCTTGATCGTGGCTGTAGATCGAAACCGAAGTTTTGCATTGAAACTAGATTTGGTTTAACTGCGTTATTTATTGTTTGTCAGGATTGCGATACCTTTGAGGTAGTAATATAGTTTCTTTATTTGTAATAGTCGCAGAAAGATGTCTACTTGATGCATCACACTTGAAATTTTGGAGGAGGTATATGCGTGCTTGGAGGTAGGGTTGAATTTTTATTTATTTATTTATTTTTCCTTTGATTCTCCTGATACAGGGCATTATTGTTCATTGTAGCCCGTTCAAAAATATTTGCTTGTTTAGAGAACATTATGGAATAGCAGTAAGTTTGGAGCTGCATGCTTGCATTTGGTTTTTACAGAGTTGTACCCTTGTGTTTTACTTGGAAAGCTGTTAAAGACGCTCAAATATTATAACTCAGATATTAGTGAAAGTTATCCAGAGTACAATTGGTAAGCAAGGGTTGTGGGTGGGGAAAAACACTACTATAAACCCTAAACCTGCAACCCCTTTGTAGGGATGTGACAAATGAGGGTCTTAGACAAGTGTTTCTTGACAAGTGATTAAGGAAAGAAACACCCATACTCTTGTATATATCTAGTTCTCTCATCCATTAAATCGTCCATACAAACCCTATGGGATTAGCTTGGTTATGAAAATTTGTTCTTTTTCTTGACTTCTTGGATTCAAATACGTTTTTCAGACCCAAAATATATATATATATATATATATATATATATATATATATATATATAGTTTCGATTGACAAGCTAGCTGATTCGAAAATATCTATACCATCAATATAAAAATAAAAAATAAACTAACTAAATCATCCATACAAACTACAGAGGTTTAAAGTGGTGCCTCTTACATCAGGCTGGTGTCTTGGTGTTGCTGGGTCCGTTGCCTAGTTGCCTCTCTCCACATGAGTATCATCATTTTATACTTTCTGCTGACAATGTCTTACATAAATCCTTAAATAGTTTCTACTTGTCCTGAGGAGGTTATCACCCACCAATTTCCCCTGCAAAAGGAGGGCTAATTCCAACCGAATTGCCTTGTTATCTTTGAACATGTCTGTGAACCACTCTCCAGATGGCATTTTCGGCAAGTAATAACCATAGCACAAAAAGTAACCATTGAGACAATCTGAAAGGATCAAACAGGAGTTTAAAGGTTCATCTGTGAAGCATACAGTAACAAACACAAAAAGAATAAATAAAGTGCATTCTGCTGGCAACAACTAGCAAGACCTTGACAGGGGAAAAATACATACATATTATGTATGAAACGTACCGCTCAAGAGTTATTAAGCTTGAACAATCATACAAAGCCATTATCGTCGTTTGATAGCAATTAACATATTTGGTATATTTCAACATATCACGCTCTACAACTAAATGGGTAACCCACAAAAAAAATTGATTATAAAAAGAATTAACACAAAAAAGACCACTTTCATCCCAAGCAAATTGGGCTTCAGTAACTAAACTCGACAAATGTGTCGAATGACGATAACTCTACATGATGAAGCATTCCAACTTTCAGGTGCCATATGCTGTAGGAAAATAATTTACAGCAACCTGAATCAAGGGAGGTTACTCGCCCCCCAAGCATCTCAACAGTTGAGAAAGAAACATCCAAAGCCCCCTTTCATCAGCTGATGTAGTGCAGCATAAATCGAAGTGACAACTGCAGCAGATGTAAAAACACATCTGCCATAAGAGTAGAGCATTTCCACTGCCAATGAACCATGCAGTTTCCATACCAAGTATTTGGAGCAAAATATCAACCACAGGGATTCAGAAAAGCTCTTCTGAATTGAACTTGTTCCATGCTTCCTGTTTTAACAAAAGAAGCTCAAACTGAGAGCAAGCCAATGATTGAAGCAACAATACCATTATTTTCACACATCACAGAGAGAGACTAACGAGGCTTTTCATTCACCACATAGAGATTGATAAAATACCTTAAGTAAGTCAAACACTTTCTCAGCAACATATTTTTGTTGAAGGTTCGCGCCTTTTTGTTGCACTTTATCAGGATGTATGCATAAAGTTGCTTTTCTATAAACTTTTTTAACTGCAGCAGCAGTAATCAAATCGGTCAAAGAAACAGGCTGCCATCCGCATTCAGGCCATAGCACCTGATCATTGCACAAAAGATTTTAGAGATCGATAGATGAAAACAATATTTAACTTTACAGTAACTGACAATGAAAAGAGTTCTATAATTACACAAAAATTGAGTGAAAGACAATGTAATGATCACATGATAAAACACAACAGTTAGAAGTTAAATTTCATTAGTGTCAAAAATTCTGACATTCCGAACTAATAACAGCTTTTATGGCAGAGCTCATCTCAGGAACTTCAAGACTAGATGACGGTTTTACTTTATGATCTTACAAAATTAACAAAAAAGAAACAGCATATACAAATTGGTTTTTCTTACTTTGACAAATCTCTAAAGTCTTCGTCTTAGCAAAACTGCAGTGACTAATCACTGCAAAGCCAGTTAAAATCAAAGGTGCAGCTAGGATTAAACCTCAAAACCTGAAAGTGACTTGTAAAGTGTAAAGAACAAGGTGAACTAGGGAAGCAGCCAGGTCTGTCATCAGATAAAAGAAGGAAAGGACAGGGAAGAAAGAAAAGAAAAGGAATCCCCATGCTCAGGTTCTTCAGATGAGAAGGTTTCATGTTCATAAGCTCCTTCAAGATTTCAGTTTCAATGAGTCGGAAATTTTTTTAGGAAACGCTAATACACTGACCAGAAACAAAGTGATCTGCAGATAACAAATCCACGAGAACTATTATTTGTTACGCCAAGAGCCTAAAGGCTCAAATCAGTTTTAAGAAAAAAAGACTACGGGCATGAGCAAATGAACAGCTAGATGCTGAATAATGCTACAGTTTGTAAATTGCAATTGCAAAAAAAAAACCTGTTCAACGTTGATGCACAAAATATATGTGCTTTTTTCTTTCTTTTTTGGGATAAAAGGTAACACGTACATTATTCTCCATATAAGTATTATGCTGAATATGATAATATAGTACCAGAAAACCCAAAACAAAAAAAACGCACATATTGGAGTGTTGAAAGCAGAGCACGGAGATTCCCCTCTTTTCCTGCAGCCCAACGCTTGATCTCAACATCCAATGTCTCAGCAATCCTCTGAAAATAATGTAAAACAGTATCAGACATCTAACAAATTGGAAAACAAAAAAATAAAACCACGAGAAAAGAAGAACAAGATGCAACTTGAAACATTTTTCACACTGCATACTGGAATGAATGAAAGAATACAAAACTGTGCTTCAATCAACAACATACAGTTTGTTAAGTTTCTAAGAAAGAAACATTTTCCGCTCTCTTGAATACTGGAATGAATGGAAGAATACAAAGCTATACTTCAATCAACAACATACAGTTCGTAAAGTTTCTGAGAAATGGAACCTGTTACAAGCAAATTCCATCAAGAAAGATAACCTTGTTTGGTGTGATGAAACTTGTATTTACTATTGACATCAATCAAGAACCAAGTAATGCAGTGGAAGTGGATTCGGCTTGGTTCACTTTTGGATTTGAGAAGCATCAATGCACTTTGTGTAGTTTGGAGTAAAGCATCATACATACAGATGCTTTTCAAACATACACAATAAGAAATGGATTCAAACCCTTAAAGACGACATGGGGTTGAGGAAGTGGGGGCCTACTAATGTTGTCCAAGATGCCTCCCAATGACACCCAAGTCCAGCATAAACACATTCTTAATCAGTTAACTATAACAGCTGGCCTCTTTTGACTCAATTATCTTGGTCAATGTACAAACATTCAACAAGATATGTTTAGCTATTGAATTGTGCTTTAACAACCACATCAATGCAACCACTAACCGTTTTGGATTCATCATGAATGGCTTTCGTTGTAATTTTGCATGTGAAAAATAACCTACAGATAGCTAGAGCCTACTTATCGCCACCCCATATAGTTAAACCAGAATATGACCAAATTTTGGCACAACCAAATCTCTATGAAAATCCCAGCCCAGGCCAAATAAAAGGCTTCATGCTACTGCATATAGCATGTGCAAAACCAGAAACGACTATGGAAAGAAAGTCATTAAACTCCAAATCCCAACCCCCCAATTTTCAGCAAAGAATCAAGACAGTAGGAGTAGATACAACACTAAAAGCACTGAAAACTGAACCACTTACATGTCTCTCTGCTTGTTCTCTCTGAGCTTGAAGGTCACGTTGATTCTTCTCAGCCAGTGCTTTTGCCTGAACATATAAGCTCAACTATTAAATTATGTGGAACTAATGTGAGTGCAGTAAATAAACAAGTATATGACATAACTCTCAAAATTGTTTAAATAAAATCATGTCATGCAAAACATACCGCACGTTCCTGAGTCCTCTGGTGGCGTTCCAATCGGGCTTTTCGCCTTTCTTCAGTTTCCCCTTCGACATCTTGGAACTCTCCAGATGATGCAGCTCCTCCTTTACCAAGCCAAAGTAGTTCAGTTAATTCACAACTAAAGAAAATTATGGTATCATGAATAATCTTTCTCATGGGCAGGATGACTACCTCCGAAAAGTGAAGTTAAATCATCAACAATATTCGTTGTTGAAGATGCTTTCCTCATGCTAGATGTAGCCCCAACAGATGTCCTTCTAACTGCTTCAGGCCCACCCTTGTTCTGGCTATCAGAGAAAGGATCCTGTAATGTAGGTTCAGAAAATTAACCCACTAATACCACAAGAAGTCAGTGAATGAAAGAAAGCTTTTGCTCCTAACCGAAGTGTTTGCCCTAGGTCTTGGTGCACTGGTTGCTCGAGAATTGAAGAATGATTCAAGATCATTTTCACTCTTTTGTTGATTTGCCCTGGCAGCAGCAGCAGCCCTTTCTCGAGCCTCTGCAGCAGCTCTTTCTACAGCAGCTCGTTCTGATCTAAGTCGAGCATCAGCTTCAGCCCTTGCAACAGCAGCTCTTTCCCGGGCTTCCCTCTCCCTAGCTTCAGCATTTGCCCTTTCTCGAGCTTCTGCAGCAGCCTTTTCTGCCCTTTCTTTTGCATCTGCTGCTGCCCTTTCACGGGCTTCAGCTTGTGCTCTCTGCACGGCAGCCCTTTCTGCTCTCTCTCGAGCTTCACCAGTTGCTTTCCCCACAGCAGCCCTTTCTGCTCTCAGGCGAGCTTCAGTAGCTGCTCTTTCACGTGCCTCTCTAGTAGCCCTCTCCACTGCTTGTCTGGCCTTCTCCCTTTCCCTCTCAATCTCCCTTGCCCGCTCCCTCTCTCTTTCAAGCCTCCTTTGCTCTTTTTCTTTTTCCTCCCTTTCCCTCTCAACTTCACGAGCTCTCTCCCTCTCTTTCTCAAATCTTCTCTGCTCTCTCTCTTCCTCCTCCCTTTCCCTCTGTTGTCTCTCACGATCAAATCTCTCTTGTCTTTCTTTTAATTCTCTCTGCTGAGCATCTTGCATATCTTTATCCAGCTGACCAGCTTCTTTATTTCTAGCAACCTTTAGATATTCCCTCTCCCTCATTTGACGGAATTTGGCCTCTGCTTTATCCATGGCCTCCTTCATAGCAGCAGAAGCAGCAGCAGAGGAAGTTTTATCTGCTTCATCACCGGATAGAACATCTGCAAATTCATTAACATTATTTTGAGCCCTTCCCGTGACAAAATCCTCAAGTTCATCGATTTGAGAAGTAACTGAATTCCTTGCTGCATGATCAGATCTAGGACTTTGAGAGTATGAACTGGAATTTTGGAAAGAAGGATACTCATTGACCTTCTTTCTAGAGTTTGTAGAAGAAAAGGAACCAATCTCCGACTTCGACATCCGGGGTGGTCTTGGAGGTGGGGGTCTTGAAGGTGGTGGGGCGCTAGTGGGTTGAGTAAATAGAGGGATTTCGGACACAGTAAGCCATACATCATCAGATGATTCTGAGACCTCTTCATATCTGGGAGAGGAATTTATCTCATTAGCATTGGCATCCACGTATGAAGGAGGAGAGACATTCTGACCAAAGGATCTACGAAAATCTGTTGCAGCAGTTGGCATATCAAATATGGCTTCATGAGATTCCTGATAATCCTCAGGTGTCTTCTTCTGCGAGTGGCCCCCAGCATTCTCCACGGGATATTTGTCAATTGATTCTTTACTCACAGAGGAATATGCACCACCTGTCCTAGGTTCTGTTCTTAGAGGGCTCCTATTCTCCCCTCTCTTGATCTCAGGAGGCACAGATTTCCCTAGATCATCAAGGTGATCTAGATCATCAAATACTCCCCTACTTACAGGTGAACCATCCTTTGTGGTTCCAGTGTTACTGATTTTACTAATTTCTTCCAATGGGTCTACAAACAACCCTGATGATGAAGTTGCAGGCGTTGAAGTTGACTGTAGGACTACAAAGGGATCTTCCACCACAACAGGAACTGACCTGACTGAATTTGAAGAAGGCTTTTGGGACCGACCAGACTCAGAAGTTGACCTGTGGAAAAACAGTATGGTGCTAAAATATTAACCAACTGATATTTATAACAAAAACAAATAACATAAACAGATGTCTCAAATAAATAAACAGAAAATATGGATAAAAATTTTCTAACTAAACATGATTCACAATCAACATTGTTAGTTCTTTTCCCTGAAGCAGTCTAAGCTATGGCTAGACTCCATAGGTTCAGAAACAACTGATTGAGAACTAATCAATTTAAAAGTAAAAAGGCTGAACCAGCTTCCTGATTTGTGTAAACAAAAATATACAAGTAAAAGACAAAAAGGAAAAAGAAAGATGACAACTCACAACAGTAGGATGAAACAAAAGTGAAGACAACGGGGATGCTGCATAAAAAAAACGTTGGTTTCTTTCATTTTGTCAACATGATTATTCTCCCCAAAAAAAATGAAGCAAATTTGGAAACATAATACAAATATCTAACCTGTATCTTGTTTATTCACAAAATATACGAGTAATCTAACACGCTGAAATCACTGAACAAAAATGAATGGCAAGCTTGCTTACAAAAACTTCTTTAAAGAAAAGCAATATGAAAACCAGCATAAAACCAGAAGGCATAGTTTCCTGGTTTCATATCGTAGGCCGATGGACATATCTATTAGAATTAAAACAGCAAGCACAAGTGATACTTGACAGCCGCAAGGCTAGTGAAACCCAAGTTCGCCTCCAAACTCAACATATTGGCAAATGCATCATGTATTAGTTATGCCATCACATATTCACTTTAGAACTAGTTATATTCCAATTACTGTGAAATACTAATGGATAATACTGTAAATCTAGCCATTTCTCAATTTTTCCTTTTGCCTTCCCTTCTTCCGAACCAAAATGCTTTACTGCCAAATTCCCATGGCTTCTGAGCTGATTTGAGCTAATATTTAGCTTCCAAGATGAAACTTGGTGAACATATAAAAAGGAAAGAGAAAACACTAACTTAAGTTGGCAACTAGGCTTTCTTGAACATTAAAACATAATACTAACTAATCACTCCACAACCAGCTCAACCTTAAAACATAGAATCAAAGTCAAATACAAATTTTTAAGACAACCATGCCAAATAAATATTTGAACCATTTCTTTATGTAACTGCTCAACAAAACAATCGCAATGGTCCACACACATTTAATTTAACAGTCTTGTGTCTTGAAGCAGCCCTAACATATCATGATTGCAAATGGATCAAATCTCGGCATACCTCAAACACTATAAACCCAACAAAAACTTTTTAGTTTTTCCTTGATAAGAAAAGAATGCGAAGCTAAAGATATGTAAGTGAAAATGCAAAGCCACTGTTCTCTATCACCTAATTACTATAGCTAAGCTGATAATTACGCACAAATAGCTTGATTTGCAAATTCAAGCAGCAATGCCAAACTACATTAGCTAATTAAGCAAAAATCACTCAGTCAAACAACAAAAACAACAATAAAATCAGTACCGGTTAACACTAGGAGAGCTGCTGCGACCAAAACCAGGAAGTAAATCATCGAAAGCCACAGAATCCTTCTCCACTTTACCACTCTCTCTCTTCGAGGATTCTGTCTCCGTTTTACCTAAATTCCCCAATAGATCATCAAACGGCGAGCTATCTCGCCCCGGCGGCCTTCGATGCTGCTTCGGTGGTGAACTGACCGAACTAAACACATCATCAAACTTAGGAGCCGATGCAGAACTACCGCTAGAAGTCGAACTCTTCAACCCAGGCAATCCATCAAAAATATCATCATCATAAACAGGCTTATCATAAATCGGCAGCGACGCCGATTTGGAATTCTGGTCCTTGAAAATGGAGTCATAATCAAATGACGATGTAGTGGTGGAAGCTCCCCCGCGTGATTCTGAATACTTAGGACCATCGAAGACGTTGTTGAACAAGAGACCGTCAGTGCCGGCGTGATCGTCGAAAATAGGAGCTGATTTGTTGGAGGAGGAGGATCGGGTGCGAACGGAACCGCCAGATCCAAGGTTGAAATTGCTATTATCACTGTTTGTGTTCCGAGGTGGAGCCATAGGTGCGGATTTGCCTTGGGGTTTGTACCCGAAGTCGCGGGCTAACAGACCAGGGAAATCATCCATTAATTTGGATTAATTTTTTTCTGCTAATGGATCTGTGGAGGTTTTGAAAGAAAAAAAAATAGATCTAATAGAGGGCCGAGGGAGGAGAGGTGGAAGGTGGCTAAATGATAAGGAAAATCATGGAGGCACGGAGGTGGAAAGAAAAGGTGACTGGTCAATTATTTTGTATAAATAAATTTTAAAAGTGAAAACACGAAAATAAAATAAATTGGTTATACAGAAATAGAGAAGAATTAAAATGAGGATGAGAGAGAGAGAGGGATGGTTTTGTTTTTGTTTGTTTTTTCGAAAAAAAGAAATGGTAGAAAGGAAGGAAGGAAGGAAGGAAGGTAGAAGGAGACGGTGGAAACTGCGATGGACGAATGATGGAAGAATAGAGGACCAAATCGTAATTAGATTTTTTTTTTTTTTAATTTTTCTTCTTTTGGCATGAGAGGCCCACTCGTCACTTGTGAATTTGTACGTGGGCCTTTGTAAGTTTATATATCGAGTATCTTACTAACGGTACCCCGTCGATTACTTTGAGAAAACCTCAGATAAGTATCCCAACTATGTATGATTTCTCAATTGAGTGTCCTAACTACCTATTTTATCAATTGGAACCATTGTTGAGATAACTTTTCTCAATTAGGTACTTCTACTCGTACAATTGGCAACATCGTCAAACAATTATTCTGTTTTCTACCTAATAGTAAGCCTTAGGTGTGAAGATGCCCATTGCTGCATTTAATTTAAGATGCGGGAGGCAAATTTGTGAAGAGTAAATTATATATTAGTCCCTTTATTTTGAAAAATGAATTAAATAATCTTTCTAGTTTCAAAAACTAATTAATTAGTGCATGTGTTCTTAAATTTATTTATACCTTAATTCTTTTTTTCTTTTCATATTTCTTTTTAATTTATTTTTTAAAATAGAAAAAATTAAAAAATAGATAATATGAAAAGATTGATGAATAAACAAGACATTTTTTAGAATAAAGTAATATCAAATTAAGTATGGTCAAAATTAATTAAAGAATTAATTAATTAGTTTTTAAAACTAAAAGAACTATTTAATTTATGCATTTGTTTATTTATTTTGCAAAACTAGAGGGATTAATTTGTAATTCACTCTATAAATTGGAAAATGGCATTTTTATATCAAAATATTAGGGAAACTAAGATTATTAGAACTTAGGAAACACATAACTAGCAGTTGTATTGTTAATAGTTTAATCACATTGAAGATCTATATGGTCTCCGTTTTTTAAAAATACACTCTTGTGGTTTCAATTTGGATAATTAGATCTTTATAGTTTGGTTTGTTAGGTAATAGAATTCTATTGGTTTATAGTCAATTTAATTTTTCGTTAATTTTAACTTTTTAGTGAAGAAGGAACACGTCGATTTCTATTAGTTTCAAATTTGAGAAAAAAGAAAATTTGATACAAAAAAGTATCAAAAAATATTTTTTTTGATACTTTTATTTATTTATAGCTAGAATTTTTTTTTGAAATTATTTTAATTATGTTAGATCTTTTACTTTAGTTGAAAAGATGGGAGAATTATTAATTTATGATGGATTTGTTATTATTTTTTATAATTTAAAATTTTTAGATAATTTTTTATTTATTTATCACAAGAAAAGTGTTTTTATTTTTTTTTATTTTTTTCACTTCACCAATGAAGAAATGAAATTACGGTTTTATTGATGAAATTACTTTATTCAATTTCTAATTTTTTTTCATAGGCATGTTTTCCAATTTAATTGTCCATGAAAGTTTTAATTTTATGTGTTTGATATTTATAACTTTTATATAAAATTTATTTATTTCCTGATTTTTTTCTTTGAATTTTAAAAATAAAATAAAAAATTAGCTAGAAAAATAAAAATATATATATATGAAAAAAGAAAACAATCCAACATAAATTGATAAAAAAAAATTAACAAATTTTTTTAACATTTTTTTTGTGTTTCTAAAATGAAGTAAAAAAAAAATCCAACATAAATAAAACATTGAAAATAACTGTAGTTGTAAATAAATAAATAAAAATGGCAAAAAATTTTAACAAACTTTTTTGCTTTTTTTTCTAATTTTTAATATATATATATATATATAATTCTTAATCAATTTGTTTACGAAATTAAAACCATGAAAAGCTAACACGTGTCGTCTCTCTCTTTTAAAAATCAAAATTAATGAAAAATTGGATTGACTATAGAGGAAAAGACTTGTGTTGTCTAATTGAAGAAATTATAAGGACTCAATTGCTTAAATTAAAACTACAATGATATCTTTACTGGAAATAAATACCACATGAACCCCCATATCATTAAATCCATCATTAACCTTATCTTTTATCGGTATTTTAATAGAAGTGAAATTGGGTACATTTGTGAATTTAATTTATAAAATTAGTTGGGATACTCATCAAGAAATGGTAAATAGTTGAGGGATTAATCTAACATTTTCCAATTAGTTTTTTATATCAACATTTTAATAGAATTATGAAATTGTGTAAATGGTGAATCCAGTTTATAGAAGTGGGGTACTCAATCAAGAAATTGTAAATAGTTGAGGGATTAATCTAACATTTTCCCGACTATTTAAAAAAAAAAATTCTGACAAGAAGAATTAGTTTTTTTTTTAAAAAAAAAAAAAAAAAACCACCACATGCATAATAATCTAATAAAATATAGGTTTTTAAATTTCACTTTCAGTTTTTATTGTAAGAATATATATTCTGTAAGGATATTATAAAATTTACTTTTTATCATATCAGACTTTTCGGCTCTCTCTCTCTCTCTCTCTTTTTTTTCCTAACAACTATCATAGTCAGACTTAATTCTCTTTCTTTTTTTACTTTTTTTTCCTTTCATTTTCAAATCTTTTTATATTGTATTTATCATCTGCATTCAAGGTCACTCTCTCCTCTCCAATTCACCTCCTCGTGAATTAAAATAGTTAGTAGCTTCCTTTTCTGTATCAATGTAACTAATCAATGGGCTTTTACATTTCTAGTACAGTGGTAATTAAATTTTTACAGTTGCAAAAAGCCATGAATTCAAATTCCTTTTTTTTAGTCTTTTAACCTAAACTAAAAATTCATCATGATAATATGACTTCCTCCTCCCTTGTTATGCTAATTCCCTAAAGCTTAACAACTAAATAAGATGCAAGATCCTAGTATATCATTTAATTAGATTCAATAAATTATTTATGCTTTATTTTATCCTTATAGATCCATATGGTGTTTGAGTTCCTTCAATTTTTATATTTTGATTGCATACTTAATTACTAATCAAAAATCCATATTTGGATCGTGCTTGATACAGGATTAAAAAATCACAAAGAAAACATCAAGAGATAAGATTTAATAATAAAATATAAAGAAGTGAAGTTTTGCCAATACTCACTCGAGGTTAAAAAGATTATAAATCATATTGCATCTTAATACTGCTAACGTCAAATTTAAATTGAATCTCACTACAAAATAAATTAAATAATATATAACTGTGGTCCTCTTAACAATTAATTCTTTTCTTTACAAAATATATCTCGTAAAGAAATGGTAATTATATCTTAATCAATTCGAGTGTAGGTTCTATAGATTTTTTTAAACTCGATCTCTTATTTGATTTTTTCCTAAATTCACTTATATATATAAGTGAATTTAGGGGACAAATCAAATAAGAGATCAATGTTTTAAAAAATCTAGTGGATAAAAAAAGATCAAATAAGAGATTGAGGTTCCAAAAAAATTTAAGTAAACCAAAAGGTTTAAATCCATGACAAAGTGGATTTCAAGGGAATTTTAAAATAGAAAAAACTAATAAACTACAGAGGTTTTTTATTAATAAAAAAAGAAAAAAAAACTTAATAGCTACGTTAAGAATATCCATAAAAAACAAGCAATAAAAATCATAAAAATAAATATTAAAATATAATAAAAATCGTAAAAATCTCGCGAAAGGCACATATGGAGCTGACCACTTAGGATTCTCTATTTATTTATAAATTAGTAACTTTCTGAGTTGAAGCCGCGCGCCAGAAATCGATGGGAATTTAGATAGTGTAAAATTTAGCTCCTTTGTCAAGGTTGCTCCCTCTTTATTTATTAAAGATACAACTTGGTCCTTTCTAACAAAACGTTTCACAACTCAGCCCCTTACTCAGGGTCAATTTAGATAGTGTTGTTTTGGGTGTAAATAGATCCAAAATGGGAATGAAAAAAAAAAAAAAAAAACAGAGAGAATAGAATAGCGTTAAGCTCATTAAAAAATAGAGAAAAAAAAGCATAAAAATTGGCCCATTGAAAATTCTTTTATCTCTTCGTCTAGGTTAACACTCGACTCAACCTCATTTTTATGATTAAATGTCATAGAAGTTATAAAATAACTTGTAATTTTTATTTTTATCAGATATCTTTATCTTATATCAAAGATAAAACTAATTTTATTTGAAACTAAAGTGACAAGGTTTAATCATTATTCACAAGTGCGATTTTAGGATTTAAATCCTGGATATTGATAGATAATTGACTTGTTTACTATTAGAACCACAATTTGTTGGTAATTTTTCACTCCTTTTACTTCCATACCGACATAATTTTTTTGGTAACCTCATATGCTAATGGAACATTTGTCTTTTAAAAATTATAAACAAATCAACAAATGGAGGAAAGCCAAGGCTGGGCCCAACAAGTTATGCGTCCAGGGAAGGAATTGGTTCCACGATTACATTTTAATTTATTTTTATTATAATATTGAAAACAAAACATCTAATTTGAAATTCTTTTTTCTCCAATCTCGGGTACAATGTAGACCCACAAATTGCTACTTACCTTTACCTTTTTCCTTTTTATGATTAGATGGTATTATTTTTTTCTCGAGCTACGTTGTGGGTTAGATAAAATATATAAAATTATTTCAGTTTAATAGTACTGTTTTTTGATGTGAATCTATAAAAATATATGAAATCAAAAGTGAAAAAAATTATTTTTTAATAAATAATTTTGTA